CTACCAATGAGTTTGGAACTTCAAAGTGATTCCTGATGTTCTCCTTGAAAATGATGGAAATCAAAATAATTAAAACTGTATTGTGGAAATGTGTTGGTTTTTTATTTCACTTCAGCTTGATCTGCAACTTGCATATGATCTCTTGCATAGCAGATCCTGAATATCTTTCCTGTTATCATTGAGCTGTTCTACCACTTTGTAGTAACAATATAGTCAGGTTGATTTTTGAATACTCCCTATCTATAGACATCATTGCTTTTTGGGGGGCAACAGCCAACAGGTGGATTCCTATAATTGTTAATCAATTTACTTTATAAAAGAAAGGTGTTGTGTAACAAAAGAATAGTATTTTTTCCAAATACCCTTTTCTTCATTTTCATCTGCTTAATTTTATGAGAGGTTTTTGTCTAAATGTGAGCCAAGCAATGTTCCACTAGTATATTTTAAATGTATGCTCTGCATTGATATTTTGAATATGCTTAGTCCAGCCACTGAATGCTAATATACTTTGACTTGGCATATTTACCTCTTATTCATCCATTATTAAAACTCTCATACTATTAAAATACTGAACATTAATACAATCTATCTAGACATATCCTTTTATAGCTGGATCAGTTTACATTCTAGCTTTCAGTTTTCAGATGTGCTTCTCTATCTGGTTTATAGCTCATTCCTTTTAGTACAAACATCTTTGTTTACCGACTGTCTTTTATGCAATTAAACTGAGGAATGTAAGGGTCATTAAGAGTTAAGAAACTGATTAAGACCTGGCTTTTCCACAAAGTTTTTGGAGACTGAGATGCTTATATGTAAACTATTAAAATATTTTTCCTAAGTTGGGAAGGAGGTTGTTCTGTGTAATACGGGATGTGAATATTAGTGAAATTCTATCGCTATCTATTTTCTACCAGTCCAGTGTGTATTTTACTATATCTTGGTTGTTCGTTTTTTGATTCTTTGTAAACCACTTATAAACATTATATAGGAATGACTTACAAAGTTTCAGCAATGAATAAAATACATAAAGAATATGCATTTTACAAAAATGAACAAAAGAAGAATGTTCTTCAAATTGCTGTTGATATATTGGCACCTGAATTCCAGTTGCTGAGAACAATAATAAAAAACATGGTTGCTTTGCTCTTGTCTATGGATTTCCTGCAGTTGGTGCTAGTTGATCATTCTGGAAATTGGGATGGACTTCCGGTCTGTTCCAGCAATGTTCTGTTTTCAGTTCGCAAATTTACTAGATACATTTAGTATATCTGATTCTACTGATCTTCTACTTGAGAAGATTGTGTTCTGCATAGATTGCAAAGATTTCTCTCACGCTTGTACAATATATAATGTTCCCCTTGAAATGTTTGTGCTGATAGGTGTTTATAGGGACATATGCTTTATATATGCTTTGGGATGGCATCCCAAAGTAGGGTTCCTATTCTTAGCAGTTGATCTGGAAATGAGGACCAGACACCCATACTCACATAGAAAGAACTAAGATTGTGTCAGCTTCTTGAAAATTCTATAGAGTTCTATCAGAGGAAATAATGGGAAGTTGAAACAAAGTTATGACTTTCTTGTTTTTGAACCCACGACTATGGAAATGGATAGCATGGCAATCATATCCTTGATGACAGTCTACATTTCTTCCATGGATATTCCAATAATATGTATTTATTTAATGCATTTCATGCTTGTCTAAGGCCATGCCATTCAAGAAATGTGACTGTGGTATGTGGTATATGATTTCCATGATCATGTCCACTCATGTTATACATTGTGTTGATTGATTGATTGATTGGCTGTTCTTGCAATTCATGGTACTCTTACCAATAACTTCTCCAACTTAGTAATTTGAATATGTAATTTCTCAGTGTATCCATAATGATTGGCTTCCAAATGATGGGTGTGACCAGGTGATCAAGCCCCACCCCTTTTAAACAAGTCTCACATGCTTTGCAAGCTTATAAAAAGGGTGAAGTTTCAATATTATTTTCACATGCCATTTTAAAGCCAAAAAACTCTTGCTTTGGGTGACACTCCTGCCTCTTTCTCTTTCTCAATATCCAACATTAACAGCCATACATTATCACGAGGAAAATTGTTGCTTTAAATATTCCAATCATTATTGTCATAGAAATAGCCTTGATCTTCATGACGTCATCTATATACTCAATTACTTTCCCTCAGAGGATCAACCTCCCTTTTTACTTCTCCAGTACATTTTCCACTTTTAACTATTCTGTATCCTAAAACAACAAAACTTCACCTATACTTCTTCAACTCAACTGTGAATTCACAAAGCTTGCTGGTTCGTTTTATCTTTCCGTTCTTAATGATTAAGATTAATCCATTTTTAAACTTTCCATTTGTAGTTTTCATAAGGCTTTTTACCTTTGTCTAACAAAACGGTGTGGTCGGCATATTTTAAACTGTTCCTGGTTTGACCTCCAATTTTGATTGTAGTTGTTATATATTCTGAAAGTGCCATTCTTGAATACATTCATTGTAAAAGCTAAGCAGATATGTGGACAATGTGTATCCTTGTCTGTTTATTCGGTTACTCCCAGTTCTGCCCTTACTTTGTTCATTGTAAAAATTCTTCAAAATAATAATCAGACGTTCTAGCATGATCTGCCCTGTTAAAAATCTTAAAAGCTCTCTCCAATACTATTTTGTGTTAGTTATCTGATCATACATATTCCTCTGCCTTTTCTGAAACCTTCCTGCTCATTTGGCATTTTTCTGACCATATATGGCTTTATTCTTCTTTGTAAGATCTTAAGTAAACCTTTGTTTGTGTAAGGAATGAGTGTAATATTTTAACAGTATGTGAATATACACCAATTTTTCAATCTGTGTCCCATGGTGTTGTTTCATATTTGTTGACATACAGCTGTTTGTACTTTAGATGTTTCTTTTCTGAAAGCTTTCAATAGTTCAGTCAGTTCATCTCTGATGCTTTTCTACAAATAGTTTATTGCTCTCGTATATCACTTTAAAGTGTAGTCAGTTCCTACATGCATTCTCTCTATATACATTGATTTATGTTACTTACTTATTTAAAAGTTTTCTATGGCTAAACATCTTAAGTCACAATTCTGGGTAACCATACAAATGTTTTTTTGTCATTCTATACTAATCCTAACTTCAAGATATTTCAGTATAGTCTTTCAATTGTTCTTTAACCACATTTTCTTTCTCTATGTCCTATTTCCCATATACACATACTCTATATTCTCATCATGCTATTTCTTTCAAGGTAAGCAATATTATGTAAAAATACCTAAATACAAAGAAACAAAACTATGAGACAGGAAAAAACAAAAGGAAATATAACTACATCTAGTTTACAACTCCCCAATTCACTATATTTTTCTATTCTTGCAAACTTTTAGTATATCCCCATGCTGATTCATACCTTGTTTTTTGGTCTTTGAACTTCTCACCTCCCTGTTTCTAAGATCTCACATGCACTTCCGAACCGGTTGGGAAGGTAAGTAGATTTCACCCCTGGACTTAGCCCTAATTCAATCTGTATTTATGATCAAGTTACCGCAATAAACTTATTTTATCCAAAAAGGAGTTATACTTTTGATCACCCACTCATTCTTGATCTTATCTCTTCTGCTTTTACCACACATACTTCTTAAACACCCAATTCCTACTGCATGCAGCCACAGGCAGAAGCACATTATCGTTGTGCCATTGTCTCCATCCAGTTTTAGAGTACAAAGTGCAACTGTCAGTACAATAAAAGAATAGGAAGCATACAAAGAGCATCCACCCAGCAAAATTGCCTAGCAGCCTATGGACTGGGAATTTGAAAAGTCTCTTGAAACTACCCTGTTTCCCCCAAAATAAGACATCCCCTGATAATAAGCCCAATCAGGCTTCTGAGTGCATGCACTAAAATAAGCCCCCCCCTGAAAATACCCCCCCAAATATTTAAATGCATGCGCAGCTGATCCTCACCATTTCCTCTGGTTGGGTTAGGAAGACAGAGATAGAAATCAGGTAAGACGGCAAGAGGAGCCCCGTCTTGCTCCACGCACCCCAAAATAATAAGAACTCCCTGAAAATAAGGCCAAGCACTTATTTTGGGGTTCAAAAAATATAAGACAGGGTCTTATATTCGGGGAAACATGGGTATTAAAGTGTCTCAGCAGGTGGAAGCACCTGGAAGAATTTGTTTTGTCTTGGTTGCTTAGCAGAGCTGCTTCTGATACATACTTTAAAGAAAACCTTCAGGAAACATCAGGTCTGGAAGCTGCATTGGGCAGTAGGGGGAAAACTATTATGGAACAAGTAGTGGCATATATTACTTCAAATATGATTTCAACATTTTATAGCTTTGCACTGGCCATAGATAAAGCAATGAAATAAGTGTAAGGAGGAATTTCTCTGTACACTCCTACAGAACCAATTTGACTTTTCCCATAGCCATGGCATTTTAACACATGGTTCTTTCATTGCCATGTCTGTGTTTTATGCAAATATGGATGTGCCTTTGATATCCCAATGCATTTATTTATTTATTTATTTATTTATTTATTTATTTATTTATTTATTTACATTTCCTATTTCTAAAACACCCATCTCCCTCAAAGCGGGTTTTTGTTCATTTGTAATAAGGTTCGTATCTTTTTCATTAGAACTATGAATGTTTCTTAGCTTTGCATGATGCGTGGAAAAAATTATGCAAAGTTTCTCCTTCTTCTGTTGATGGCCTGAGATGAACATCTGACTCAACCTCTGACAAACTGATTATTTGTAATACAGTTCTTTCTGGATGATATTGTACCATTAACCATTCCCTTTGATATCTATGCATTAACTGACATATGTAAGAAACGATAAAAGATTTCTCGTCTATTGCAGAACCACTGCCTTGGATTGGTAAATTAGAAAAGCTGATATTATTGCAGCTATCCTTGATTGTATAGCTATGCTGTAGATCAAATCAAATCAAATTTAAAACATTTGCCTTAGTGTACCTGTGTATCGTGGGGGCCTATACTCATATTTTGCAGGATTCGTTTCAAAAAATTGGTGACATCTTTCCATTCAAAAATACTGTTAGATCCATCAAGAACAAAGACAATATCCAACTGGGACTTGCAGTCTACAACAGGAAACATAAAATAAGGAAACATTCAAAGCACACAGTGGTTTTTCTGTTAAATTGATACCCTGCTACTCCTTTAATTTCAAAATAAATTACTTTTAAATGACCCAAAAGAGATATGATGTATCTCAGATATAATTTATATGCAAGATTAAGTGCTCTGAGTTTCTACATTCCATTGTACTACCTATTTTTTTTAGTATAGTTTATACAGTAGAGACCTACATAGTGAAACACAGCCACGCAGAAGATGAAGGATGAAGTTTTTGAGTTGCTATAATTTGAATCAGTGCCTCTGGATAATGTGCATAATGAAGTTCTGCCTGGTGAAGGGAAATGAAGGTTCATCTTCTATGGTATTATGGAATTAATTGGGCTACTTTGGACCAGTCATTCTCTCTCTGCTCAGCCTGGAAATCATCCATTTTTGCCTCTGGAGCAAATGTTGGACTCACTTCTAGTACTGATATACTAGTTCTATGGTTCTGGAGCTTGCTGTAACTGGATGATGCTAACTCATCAGTGTAGGAGATGGAGCTGTTGGTCCAGTCTAGAAGGTTTCAGATTAAAGAGCTTCTAACATCTTGAGATGTTCTGCAGTGGTGATCTGAGATGGCATAGAGTAGCTTTGTGGACAGGACAGAGCATGGTTTGGATAATGGTTATTTCATGAATACTGGGCCTTTGTAAAACTACATGGAGATCAAGAAATATCTCAAGAATAAAGAGCATTTTCAATTTTTTAAAGTTATTCATAAATATGTTTAAATGTGATTCTAAAATATATACAGTTTTATTAAGATTGCTGTACAGACATTCTATCTAAGACATATTATACTTCAAATGTTTCTTTTGTGTGTGTTTTGTGACCACTGCTAGCCATTTTAACTATTTCAGAATGCATAATTACCGAAACATTTATGCAATTTCATGCAACTTCATGCAACTTGTCACATATGATAGTGATTGTCTTGAGGAAATTACAGATGCCTCCAATATTTAGGACTCTTGAAGTCTAATTACATGAATAGTTTGCTGGCTCTGGAATTATATTACTATCATGTGTAGGGATGGTTGTATAGTATCACTTGTCTATATAAAAAAGAAACAACTGTAGTGACCTTGAATAGAAAAGAAGACTAGAAGAAAAGGGAAAGGGCATTTATTGTAATTGTCGTCAACCAAGGAGCAACGTAAAGAAAGGAAGAAGGAAGGGTAGCAATCATATCCTCCAAGAAGGGCTTCAAAAAGTATTTTTGAAAATAACGTTTTTAATACGATTAAATAATTTCATTTCTGCTTCTGGGAATCAGCACAAAGAATGGAGCCTTGTATCTCACAAAAACCAGTACAAGGACAAGTATTTTGTCTTCTTGAATTAAAGAGGCATTTAGCTTTCTGTGGTGGCCTGAACATTACTACCGTGTTTTCCCGAAAATAAGACCCTGTCTTATATTTTTTTGAACCCTGAAATAAGTGCTTGGCCGATTGGGCTTATTATCAAGGGATGTCTTATTTTGGGGGAAACAGGGTATTAGACTGATTTTCACTTGTGACTAATACTATGAACCTGTTTATACTAAAAATAAATTCCAGTAAGCATTTAGGTAATATACAAACAAGGATTAACATTTGCCTAACTTGGTCATACAAGTTGCCTTGAAAATTAGTTGATATTTCTGACATAACCTTGAATATATATTAGCCTTTTTTCAAGCTCTACCTACGTTCAATAGATAAAAAAAGCAATTTTTATATATGCATACCTCGCAATGGAGCAATGGAATTTACAACCTCAAAATTTGAGCTAACGTTGGAACAGATACCAGTTGTGTAATAGGAATGTCCACATTTATAAGCATAAAGAGGTCCACATGCCTATGATAAAGAGACAAATAATTGTTTTTTAATGTTTAAATAATTCACCATATTGTTTAGTAGGTACTTTGATATGTACAATGGTTGGAAATATGTTTACTGAAATCCTACGTAAAACTATAAAACATTGTAACAGCAATATGATGGCACAGCCACAACTGAACTGACCAAAGGGATCTGATCCAATTTTGGAATTCTGTGCAGTACAAACTTATTATATTTGGGTGTTAAACAAGGAAGTCTAGAGAACACCAGGAACCCAATAATTCAACTCTGAGCTGCATTTATTCTCTACCATAGTAACAAAATTATTGCTCTGAATATATCTGGTAAATGAATATCTGATAAATATACATGTTGTTTATAAAATAAACAGGTATATATGTAATTCTAGATTGTGTCCCATGTTCCTAGGTCATTCCAATACAGGTACTCCTCGATTTATGACCACAACTGAGCCCAAAATTTTGGTTGTTAAGTGAAACATTTGTAAAGTGTTTTTTTCCCCCATTTTACGACCTTTCTTGCCACAGTTGTTAAGTGAATCACTGCAGGGGTTAAGTTAGTCCCATCATTGTTAAGTGAATATGGCTTCAGAGCAAAACTAATACAAGAGCATTTAAGTCACATGAAACTCCTTTACAGATCTCAAAGTAGGCATTTTGGAAAAAAAGTAACTTTATCAGCAGAACTCAGGGAAAGATTGCTGAATTCACACACATCAAAAGATTTCATGATATTTCAAAAAATCTCAGCAGTGACAAGCGTTTCTTAACACCTTATAATTTCTATTAGAAAAGCTACTTGTAAATCTGTCTCGGTGCAACCAGCATCTTCATAACCTCCCTCTCCCCCCCCCCCAGCTCATCCCGATTTAAATCTTATGTCAGTTTGGCCAGTTCAAGTACCTGAGAATATGAGCTCTGGTACATGAAAGCTTAAACCTTATAGATTAATTTGTTATTTGAAAATATGCTACCAAACTCTGATTTTTAGGCTAATACAGTTCTCCTCCTTCAATGATTACTCCTTGGCATGAAATATAAAGTACTTCTTGGCAGTTCAAAGAATCTGTGCTAGTTAGCTAAGTAGCCGAGAGGCATTTCTCTTTATTTTACTAACACTGGGTTGAATCCAGTATTCAGAAGCAGAATTCAGTTCATGGATCTTGGAGATCTTAGTTTTCAATAATCTTGCAATTCTCTGAACTACCTGAACATTTGTAGCCATGCTGGCTGGTAATTCTGGGAGTTGAAGTCCACATGTCTTCATGTTGCAAAGGCTGAGAAACACTGCTTTAGAGCATCCCTAAGCACACCATGAAAAATGGTAGAAGGAATGGGAGAAAGATGGTGCCAGTGACTAAAAGTGGTTGTCCTCATTTCCATCTGTAGACTCATTGCTGCATGTAGTGTCTTACATGGATGATAGCAATAGCACTTAGACTTATATACCACTTATAGTGCTTTTTGCAGCCCTCTCTAAGCGATTTTACAGAGTCAGCCTATTGCCCCCAACAATCTGGTTTCTCATTTTACCCATCTCGGAAGGGTGGAAGGCTGAGTCAATCTTGAGCCTGGTGAGATCTGAATTGCCAAATTGCAGGCAGCTGGCAGTCAGCAGAAGTAGCCTGCAGTACTGCACTCTAACCACAGCACCACCATGCCTCATGAGGATGATGATGTTAATCTATTCAGTTGTGTCCAGCTCTTGGCGATTGTATGGGCCAGGTCCAGTGGTGGGTTGCTATCGGTTCACTCCAGATCGGGCGAACCGGTAGTGGCGGTGGCAGCTCTGCTCACCCGCCTGGATGCGTCTGCGCAGGCGCAGAAGTGTCATGCAGGCACAGAAGCATCGCGCACACACAAGCAAACTGGTAGCAAACTTAATTGAAAGCAACTACTGGCCAGGTCTCTCAATGTCTCAAAGGGATCCTGCCGGTTTAATAACCAGTTCGGTGATCGTGTGCTTCATTTTACAAAAACTTACCTTCCACGTTACTGCTGGGGAGTAACACAGCTGAGGCATGGTAATGCGCTCTGCCGCGTGAATCAGCTGAGAAAATATAGGTCAGTAAAGCGCAGGGAAGGGTGGGCTGGCGGGCCTACCTGATCGTCGGAGTGAACCGGTTCGCTCCCAGCTGATCGTCGGAGCTACCAGTTCGCCTGAATCAGTTCGAACCAGTAGAATCCCACCCCTGCTTCTAATCCTGCACTATATCCTTGAGTTGTTCAGTGCTCTGGTTGGTATCAGCCTTGATGGTGTCCAGCCACCAAGTTCTTTGGTGATCTGGTTTCCTTTTACTGCTAACTTCCAAACATAATTGCTTTCTCCAAGGAATTTCCCCGCATGACATGGTCAAAATAAGTGAGATGTAGTTTTGAGATTTTGCCTTCCTTTTGTGGATATAAAGTAGTTTTCCATTATTGTGTTTGATTTCCCAAAAGTAGTTAGATTCCAACCTTATCAGACCAAATCACCATGTTTAATATTCAAGAGTGATAGGAACTTTAATCCAAAACTATCTAGGCAAGTTCGGTATTCCTTCTATAAATGGGGAAAAATCTTCTATATGTGAAAGCTTTCATGGTAAATATTATAGTATTGGTTATAGTAAATATGGCATATTATTTTTTATTTTCCTCAAGAGATATTTACTCACCAAAAACCCTCCTTTGGGATTCGTCACTAAGGTTGACCCAAGAGTCATATTCTCCTTGACTTCTGTAACTTGAGGAATTGAAATGTTGGCTATAGATAGATTAAAAATAAAGTTAAATATGGGGGTATATGCAAACAAGACATTAAATCATATAGTGGCATGTTTAAATTGCCAAATTTGTATGTAAAACATGGAACTTTTTGGCTTCTTTTCCTTTTTCCTCTACGTTCCCTCTTGGGTAAAACTATGAAATACAAGTCAAATGTCTGGCTTTCATCCCAGAATCGTTGTCTGGGATAATGCTTCGCATAGTTTTCTTGAACCTCAAAGAGAATGTCAAAATAGCAACAGGGTGACAGTAGAAGATATTCATCCATTTAAAATTGAAAATTTGGAACAAATAAACTTTTCATTTTCTGTATAGCTCCACTGTTGGATCAGTAAATTATCAGCTGTATACATAATATTTCAGTGGGCAATAAAGGTTATGGGAATGGCAGTGTAATAGAACTCACACAAGTTCCTCTATTAGTAAAAAATATATAACTGACATTGGAGGAAGTTTCTGGACCTTTGGAAAAGATTCTGAGAAGTAGCAATTATAGCTAAAAGGCCCATGCAAAAAGGGGAAATGAGTGGAAAGAGAATATTGGAATTTACAGATGGTCCTCCACTTATTACCAGGGACTTAATGACTGTCTGAAATTACAACCAGCCCAGAACAAGTGTTTTATGGCCTGTAAAACACTTCTGGCCATTGTAACATGCCATGCTACACACACCTTAGTCATGTAATTGTATTTTGGGTGCTTGGCAATTGGCTACAACTGGCAGCAGCCTCCTGCAGTCACGTGATCATGATTTGCAATGGTTTTTTTTTGTCTGTTTTTGGCATTTTTTGCTGGAAGAATGAATTTGGAGTTATGACTGCAGATTTGCTTAACAACAGCCATGGAAATCTTGGAAAATAGGGTCTGTCATGTGGGCGCCTCAACTTATGATCAGAAATATGGCTCCAATTGCGGTTGTACGTCGACAACTACTTGTGTACCATTGATATAAAAAAACCCTGTCTTATAGCACCCTCCTCCTCTTTGCAGAGGGGACTTTAATTTCTTTTTATCCCTTAGCCTGCTTAGTGAGTGTCCTTTGATTATGATGCTTGTTATCGCTGGTCTTTTATTTAAACATGTTTTGGCTTCTAACTTGATTTTGTTAGGGTAGGTCAGTGACAGCGAACCTTTTTGGCCCTGTGCCAAAACTGAAATGCACACATGCGCGCCAGAGCCCAGAAACCCGAAGACCAGCCAAATAAAAGGTAAGAATAATGTGGGTGGGTGGGGGGCGGGAGGGCGGGGGGGGGGAGAACCAGTTCAGTGACGTCATATCGTCACTGCTACCGGCTTGGCCGAACCGGACCAAACTGGGAAGAACCCACCACTGGCGCACGTGCACACCGGAGCCCAGAAACCTGAAGACCAGCCAGCTGATCTTCCGGTTTCCAGTGCGCATGCGCCGGCCAGCTGCTCTTCACGCACACTGGAAATGGAAAGACCAGCTGGCTGGTGTGCGCATGTGCACAAGCCAGTCGGTCTTTGGATTTCCAGTGTTCCGGCATGCGCTAACACCAGCTGGCCGGCACACATGCGTGCACCGGAGACCGGAAGACCATCTGGCAATGGCACACATGCTCACAGAGAGGGCTCTGTGTGCCACCTCTGGCACGTGTGCCATGGTTTTGCCATCACGGGGGTAGGTCAATTTGCAATTTCTTTCATTGACTTTCTTACCTGGCAGATTTAACTTTACACATGGCAAACCTTTACCCTGTCCTACAGGGCATTTATAGACATCACCTGTTTTCTTTTGGGGCTGACCAGCCAAAGGAGAACCAATAAGAACCCTGCAAAATGATAATATATATATATTTTGTCAATGCAGTACATAATATTTGCTTTGGTACTTTAGTACCAATTTACTATCTAAATTGCATGCAAAAAAGCTAATGGAATAAAAATGTGTTTATAATAGCAGATAGGAGTAGCGAGTTAGAGAAGCTTCTCTAGTTAGTTATTCAAGGTGTTCATTATGACCTATGAAATTCTAAATGACTAAGGACTCATTACCATATTTTTCGGAGTATAAGATACACCTTTTTCCCCCCTAAAAGGGGGTGAATATTTAGGTGCATCTTATACACCGAATGTAGCCCTGCCCACCCACTGGCCCCCACTCTTTGGCCTCTGCCTCCCAGCAGTTACCTCCTTGCAGCAAGCAGCAAGAAAAAACAGCTTGTTTCAGCTTCAGCACAGCCTAATTAGCACAAGTTGATTGGATTGGCCTCCCGACTCTCAGCTGTTTTGCTCTCAGCTGTTTTGTGCAGGCCTCTGCTGCTTGCTGCAAGGAGGTAAATTGCTGGGAGCAGATTGTTTTTTTTCTTGTGCTAATCAAGCTATGCTGAAAACGAAAATGAAAGTATAGCAGGCTGTTTGCTGCAATGAGGCAAAATTGCTGGGAGGCAGAGACAGATTTCTTTTTCTTCTTTTCCTCACCAAAAAAGGTAGGTGCGTTTTATAATCTGGTGTGTCTTATACTCTGAAAAATACGGTAAGTTATAGAGCAGTGGTGTCAAACTTGTGGCCTCCAGGCTGGATGCTTAATGTCCTGGCCTCCTGGTTTAGCGAAGGGGGAAAAAATCGCGATATGTCATGTGATGACAATGTGACGCTGCGAGTTTAACAACCCTGTTATAGAGGTATGGGAATGGGTGGAAGGGAGAGATAATAATTAACTAATTAATCATCTCACCATTTTCCCTCTTCATTTTCAAATTGCTGCACACTGTATCCAAACATGTCTTCCACAGGACCACTAAAAGTCATCGTATCTTTCACATCAACGTTGAATGATAAAGAGAGATGCAGCAGAACTGTTTGTAAAAAAAAGAAAAAGAAAAAAAAAAGGAAAGAATGGAGAAGATTGAACCGGTCTCAATGACAAAGTTTACATGCTGCCTAAAGGCCCTCAGAAATTTGAAATTGAAATACATTCTTAGCAACAGTGATCTGGAAGATACATGACAGCATCTGATAACCCAGGTACATTGAAGGCTTCCAATTGGACGGTTGTGTGTTAAATGTGCTACTTAAGTAGACTGTTAAATAGTAAAGCTTCTTTAGAATCAAATATCCCGTTGTCACAACAGCATCTAGTCAGTTCTGTGTAATGGATAAAGTTTTTATTGGGATGGAATATAGAAGATGGAATATGGGATTTGATCTGAAAGCCATCTGCTGCTGGAAGATTACTGGGCTTTCTTTTTTTTTTTTTAATAATTTTTTATTAATTTTATTAACATACATGAATTATAATATATAATATATGACAATATACACAATACAAACAATCAACGAAACTGGGCTTTCTTGTGCAGTTGGTTGGCCACTGTGAAAACAGACAGCTGGACTAGATGGGCCAAGGGTACGAATCAAGTAGGGTACTGCTTATGTTTTGATGATTGCCAAAACCAGATTCATATCTTTCCTCAGCTGTAGTACAATTTGTCATGTTGTCATATTGTCACCAACTGTGATTGAAGGAAAGGAAACAGAAAGACAGAAATAACATGAACGGACCATATCTTTGCACTATTCAATGATGAAGGAAAGAATTCAAAGCATTGTTGTCTACAGGGTAGATGGTTTTGTCTTTAGTATAAACCTCTCACCAAAGGCACTACAGATTGTTATCTAAACATCACATTCTTGGTTGTGTTGGTGACCGATAGTCTTATTTTTCTTTTTTCCTAGATGGTTTAGTTTGATTTATTATCAGACACATTTTGTTTTAATGTAGGACAAATAAACCTGACCACACACCAGGATTGCACATTAAATATATTTAATGTATTTAAATATAACGTAATGTATATTTAATATATAATATATATATAAAACAGCGAAATATTTCACAGCATTGTCCCTGATATGTGTGCAATGCATTCTGCATTAGGTGCAAAGACATACCAGGGCAACATGTTTTGATAAGGGAAAATAGAAGACTGAACTTAGTTCCTGGCAACTGCAAGGAAATTAGGCAGTTTCCATGAGAGTGGATTATCCTTGCCATATTCCAGGATTTTTTTTTTAAGTTTAGGGTTACTTTCTATCTTAGTTTACAGGCTTGGAATTCCCTGAGTCTCTCCTATTCAAGGATTAATCAGGTCAAACTCTGTTTAGCTTTAAAACCCAGGTAAGTTCAGCCAACCAACCAACCAACCAACCAACCAGCCAGCCAAACAATAAACAAAATCCCTGAAGTGGGTCTTCTTCTAGGGTGCACTGGTTTTCAGTAAGGAGAGTTTTGGACCTATGTGGAAGGTTTATTTGGTAATTTCTCCCTTAAAATTTCTCCCGCACATGTGTGCTAGTCATTTCCGGCTCTAGGGGCGGTGCTCATCTCCATTTCTAAGCCGAAAGCCAGCACTGTCTGAAGACATCTCTGTGGTCATGTGTGGGAATCAGGTGGCCATAGTATATGTGTAGACCAGTTTAGCTGGTTGGACACATGTATGGAGCTTGGCACCGAAATAATCTGAGTATGAAAAAGCGGGTTCAGCTAGATGACCATTGGAGGGACCCTATTTAGATTGGAGGCTGTGTTTGCTGCAAGGCATAGACATCTCCTTGTAGAACATTCCTGAGGACTGAGATAACCTCTGATAACGGGGAGATGGGCCTCTCGGCCTAGCAGAGGAATATGCTGGGAACAAAGCCAAATATGATAACATAGCCAGAGTTAAGTTTTGTTTCTACCTTAGGTATCGCTTTCCTAGAGTTCACGTGATTTACTGTAATATTGTAGAATGTGAAACCTATATGGAGAATATATGGATGCTTTCCTTTTTCATGCATGTAATATGAGATGTGTAGCCATAATAACGCCTTTTGATGACGCTGTACTTTGATTACTAATAAAAGAGAGGTCTGGAGTCAGCTCGAGGCTCTCTCATCCCGAGAAACACTTGCCCTGTGTTTTCTATAATCTGGACTACTCATGGGAAGCCTGCCAGGATGATTGCAACAGTCATGTGGCTGGCAGGACTAAACGCCAAAGGCGCACGGAACGCTGTTCCTTCCCACCGAAGGTGGTCCCTATTTTTCTACTTGCATTTTTTACGTGCTTTTGAACTGCTAGGTTGGCAGAAGCTTGGACAAGTAACAGGAACTCACCCCGTTATGCTGCACTAGGGATTCGAACCGCTGAACTGCTGACCTTTCAATCAACAAGCTCAGTATCTTAGCCACTGAGCCACCACGTCCTTCAATTTTTTTTTCCCTTAAGATTTACTCAATTTGATGGGGAAGAAATGGCTTTGTCAAAGAGAAGAAAACATGGTAAAATTCTGGTAGTGAGGGATAGGGATTCTTGTAGTCTTATAGTGATGATGAATAAAACAAGCTTCTTTCCAGGGAAGGATGACAATCTTTCCATGGGCTCTTTAGAGCTTAACATAATCAGAGAAGATGCAAAACACAATCGAAATAGAGAAGGATTGAAGTATTTTAAAAATGAAATCTCTTTTGCAGAATAAATGTTTTAAAAAGAAATTGGAAGTTGGATTTCAGCACAGTGTTAGAAACATCCATGTTATTATGCTTTCTAATGTCATTCCTGCAATATTTTGAGATTTGAGAACCTTTTTTGATGGATGCATACTGTGACTCTTGGAAGTATTCAGTATAGCTTCCAGAGTACCTCCTATATCTTCCTCTATTGAACAGTAATGTTTAATGTGATATCAAGGGAAAGTTATTAAAAAATGGTCATGTAACTCTCTTAAATTAAATGCAATTATTTATTTTAGTTTAATAAATTATGGTAAATTTAGTTAATTTACTTTATTTAATTTAGTTTAGTTTAATGAAAAGAAGGACTAGGGGTGACATGATAGCAGTGTTCCGATATCTCAGGGGTTGCCACAAAGAAGAGGGAGTCAAGCTATTCTCCAAAGCACTGAGGGCAGGACAAGAAGCAATGGATGAAAACTAATCAAGGAGAGAAGCAACCTAGAACTAAGAAGAAATTTCCTGATTGTTAGAACAATTAACCAGTGGAACAACTTGACTCCAGAAGTTGTGGATGCTCCAACACTGGAAGTTTTTAAGAAGAGATTGGACAACCATTTGTCTGAAATGGTATAGGGTTTCCTGCTTGAGCAAGGGATTAGAAGACCTCCAAGGTCCCTTCCAACTTTGTTATTCTATTCTATTTTGCTATGGCCCTGCCCACTTCACACAGGACAATCTCTGGCAGTCTACTCGAAAAGAAGCCTTTCAATCTCAGCTTGAAAAAGGTTGCACATCCATCTTACTTAGGTATCCATTTTAAGTAATATTTTATCTGATATTTTCATTGTTAGAAATAATTTCAAAATAAGACTACAACTGATTTAAAATTGCTGCATATAAACTAAAATAAATTTTACATTTTGTAAACACATTTGTATGCAAATGTAAACACATTTGTATGCAAATGTGCATACAAATGTGCATACAAAAAATATGCACGTTTTCATACTTTCACAGTAAAACATCTCTTTAAATTTAAATCCATAAAGTTCCATAATGCAGAACATTAATGGCAAAACAAAACAGAAAGGAAACCACCCCAAATTTAAGCTAAAAGTTTACATGAGCAGATATTGTTTTACTTGGTGCTGACTGTTATAATTTCAGTTCTAACCACAAATGAATTAGGAAGGCATTCCACAAACCAGATTCTAGTACAATGAATGCCCTCTTTCAGGTCCCCACATAGGGAAGCATAGTAAATGTGACAACTTCAAACTGGCTTCACTACTAGATGTTGTGGCCCGCCAGCGGCCAGAAGAGCTGGCAGCAAATTCAGACAGTGAGGAGGTTGGGGAGGAACGTGAGCCAGTCCTGGAGTCTGGGGAAGGCTCGGACGAGGGCTCTGAGTCGGAGGCAGAGAGTGGCCAAGGCTATCTGGTAGTTCTTTGCTGCCTCCAGAGTCTCCGGAGTCTGACATCAGCGAGGCAGAAGAACAGCGGGAGCCTGTTCCCAGTGTGCTCATGCGCAGAGCTGCCAGAAGACAAGAACAATTAAGAAAACAGGGTTGACATGGGAGTAAGGCTTGGAGATGATTGGCCCCTCCCATGAGACATAAAAGAGAAGCGAACAGGTTGTGAGCTTTTGCACGAAGCAATTAGTTCATCTGGTCGGTAAAAGCTTTGGAAAAGTTCTTTTTGACTCTGTGCTAAGTTTGGCCTTGCCCTGCGTGTGGCAATTAGTTCTCTGGCAGCATTCCAAGGGAGATAAGGTGGGTGTTTGTAAACGCCCCCCTGAAAGACTATTTGAGAAGCCTTTCGGACTGGGAATGACAATAATTCACAGCCGTATGAATTAAAGAGGTTTGCCGGGACTAAGATTGTGCTGTATACTTTCTAAGGAAGCCTAGGTCAGAACACTAGATTTTAAATCAGAGGCATTTAAAAGTGCTCTGCCGGGCCACCTGAGTGTGTTCAATCCTATGTCTGTTGGAAAGAGAACACAGTGAACATTTTTGCATTTTAAAGACTTTGGCAGTGAAGACATTTCTTGTGGAGTATGTGCTCAGGAACATAAAACATTGTAAGTTGTTGATGTTTTAAGTGATGCTAGGATTCATCATGCCTTTTATGAGTGCCCCATCAAATTGCATGTTCAGGGCCTTTTATAGTAATAGAGGTTGAAAAAAAAATGGAAGAAAAGTCATGCTGCTTCCATTAGCATTCTTTGGACTCATGAGAAAATAGCAAATACTGCTGAGGCAAAATAGCTTTAAAAGAAAAATCATGGATAGTCAGAGAAGATAAAGAAGCAGCATTTTTTGTTTTTTTGGCTTTGCTGTTATGAAAAGTATGCAGAG